AACTTTGACTCCAACCTCAATCAAGGTTAAATCTAATGTTCCTCTATTGTCTTCTGTGAGAGAAGATTATCTAAGAGTTAGAGTAAAATTGCCTTAGATCAGGCATTAAAATGATAACCTAAAAAATAAAAGTCAGTAAAGAAAAAACAAGAAATAAGGGATTACAAAGGAACGAAAGTAAACAAAACTAGAGTTAATATCACCCAGAAAACAGCCAAGGTCCATGACTGTGAAAAGTTTATCAAACACACATAAATGAGGTTTGGTTGAGAGGTAGAAGCCAAGAGTGGTTGCAAGTTTAAATTCCTGGACTGGCAAATATACTGTATATTTGTGAATGGGTATTTTGTTTGAGTAATCCAAAAAATCAAAAAAATCTAAATAATTGGACTTCTATTCTGAAGCTGAAAAGTTCCAACCATTGCAGGCCTGTGAGAATTCTTAGATTCACATGTATATTACCCTAGAATCCCCCCCGCCCCCTTATTTTTTTCTGTTTTTACCTTTTTTTGGATTGATGACTAGATGACTAAGAGTCTTCACCAGCATTTTGTTTTTGAGTGTGTCAGAAAGATACTTGACTTATAAAAGGACAGAAAAGATGAGCCTTTCTCTTTTATAAACACCTTTTGTTTGTGTCTTTGGGTGATTGGACGGTTCGTTCCTGTGGGAGGATCCCTAAAGCTTAAGTTTTGTTGTCCAACAGCTGGTTTCAGCTTCTGGGATTCAGCTCTGATAATGGCTGGGACCCACTAAAACACACAGACACACAAACACACASAGGATGCTGATTTTGATTTTAAATAAATTTCCTCAGACAGAACAATTACAAAAGGTCTGTTCCTTCACGCCTGCACATCTGTCAGGAAGGAGCCCACAAACTGATGGAGGAGCATTTAGTGTCTTTGCTCAATTAGCAGCAATTTCACAGCCCTTTATTCTGACATTCAATCATTTACCTCATTTTTGCAACAAAGACTATTTTGATGGCCATCTATTTCCTAGGTGCAATTTGCAGATGTTAAAGACCAAGCAAAAGGTCAGCTGAGCATCGAATCATTAACTGGACAGTAAACCATCAACAATGGTTGCAACCCAGGACTTTACATTGTTAGTGTTTTTTTTTCCTTGTTCAGCTGTGTAGAACTGTTTCTGTAATGAATATTCATTGCACATTAACTGCGACATCAGTATTCTGAAAGCCTTTCAAAGCAGTGTTTTAAAACAAAGCCTTTATGTAAATGAGTAGTTATCTAGTAATCTGGACCAAGGGACACAGAGCACAGATTAAAAAACAAGGTTAGGGCAGGAGGTGGAAGTCTTCACTTTTTGACAAGGTCATTGCACCAATCACTGACCAGTGTGATAAAACAGTAAATGACAAGCATTCTGTGTCACATCTTGTAAATTATGCTCATTTCATGACCAAAGATATAAAAACATAACTTTTTTTGCAAAAACATAAATCATTCATCTCACCTGTAACTTCATCTCTTTTCATTCATTGGATGCATCATAAAGAGGACAACTGTGCCAGCCGACTGTAACGCAGCATCAGAAACAAGTGTGTGTGTGTGTGTGTGTGTGTGTGTGTGTGTGTGTGTGNGTGTGTGTGTGTGTGTGTGTGTGTGTGTGTGTGTGTGTGTGCGTCCTTATTACCTAAACACTCATTAACTTGGCAGCTTCCAGGCTGCTTGAACTCATGACCCAGCTCCTGCTCCTCATTATGGTGCAAACCAGAGAGGCTGAATGACGACTCAGGAAGTTTGATGCAAGGGAAATGATTCACATTATGATTTGTTCCAATATGTTACATTATTATTACAGGTCAATGTTTTCAAAAATTGGCACAAAAAAGTAAGGAAAATTATTTTTGTTGATTGTTTCTTTGGTGTAACAATGGGTCTTGGCAATATACCTTATACTGTTGGAAAGCCTGTTCAYTTCCACTTAGACTGTGCTGCATTTGTGCGGAAAATGCAATTGTAGGATGAGTAKGTGGGTTGTGCCCATGAAAAAGCTGCCAAATCTTCTCTGCCAAACATCTTATTCTGCTTGACTCTGGTTTGGTGTCATTTATTGGATTTGGATAATTGAAGTACGACAAAAAAAGAAAAACATTTTGAAAATTTAGCAATTTATTAATTTAACAAAAACGGGCCTCAACAACCCTACAGAGCAACAACAGTCCAAAGAGTATGGGATTTCCATTGGTTTTTCACTAATGCTGACAACTAATCACCCAAATGTCAGCACCAGGTGTACCAGAAGTTCAAAACAATGAAGTCAAACATTCTTCCAAATGCTACTGAGGCAAAGTTTTTGTAGCAAAGAAATATTTGGCCAAATTGTAATTTTCTCACTTTTTGTGCTGTGTTTACTTCTGCTTTTCTGGTGCTTTGTTAAAATGTATGTAAATATTTCTAGAACCAGTCTGGTCTTTTTCAACATGATGTTCTGTCAAATAGTCTCAGCACCCAAAATAGGAAGAAAACTTCATTGCTAGCATAGATTCATTTTATGTCTACTTAGCACAAGTAAAGACATTTATGCTTGACAGATTATTTCTTTATTGTAATAACACTTTTTGGTCCAGCTACCATGTCAGTAGTAACACCAAAGTAAGCTGTTTGGCTGTAAAGCAAATTTTCATGTGCACAACCCACATACCAAGTTCTACTGCTCATCCCACAAATGCATGTTCCTTACAAATGTGGCACCATTTAGGGCTTTCCGTTCACATAAAATTTATTTAAAAAAACATTGTTACAACAAAAAAATATATTAGCAAACTCAAATTTTCTTACTTTTTGTGCTAAGTTTATATTAAGGCTTATTACTAGAAAGCTCACAAGTTGCTAACTATTGCACATTACTTTTGAATGACCAGATTATTTCTTTATGTTGTTCTCAACTTTACTTTTTTATCTTGACTCAGCCTTGTCAAGATTTCAGAAGAAGAGAAACCTCAAATGTAATCTGTTTTTTGGAGGGAAAATGTCAATAGTTACGACCCCCCTGAAGCACAATCAGAAACTGCGTGAGGCGAACATTTTGCCCAGCTTCTGATAATTTAAGGACTTTTCTCCACACCAGCTTGTTGTAATTACTGGGAATAAGTGGCAGCATGTGGCCATGTTTATGAGTCTTCTTCAAAGAGCAAGCTTGGTTCAGACAGACCAATCTGGGTGACTGCAGAGCAGTAAATTTCAAAACTGATCAACTACGACCACTAACAGGGAGTGTGGTGCAGCGTGGGTWCAAAAATGCCTGCTTTTTCCAGTAAAAGCGCAACTGAAGCCATGATTCAGATTCTGCCTTCAAACGTGAGGTCATTTAACGATAAATGAGGAAGTAGCACAACTTTTTTTAAAAGATTGAAAGTGTTAATCTTGAACAAAATGTCCTAAAAATGTTTTAGAGGATTTTGTACCAAAAAAAGACATAAGGGAGACACCTGAGTTCCAAAGACACATGGGTTGCTATAAAGATGAAGCAAGTCTTGACTTCTCAGTGAACTCATTTTAATTCTCACACAACACCCTGCTCCCCGCTAATGATGAGAGCCCTGAGGCGAGTGAGCTGGGACAAACAGGGCTGGTTGTTCTCAGACTGCAGCCATCAGACATCTGCAACAGCCTCGACCAAATGTTTCCTCTCCACTGAGAGCAGAAGGGGCAGAACTAAAAGATCTCTGTCTCACAAAACCAATAAAATACAGACAAATTCAAGAGTTTTACTTAAATGTTTGAAAGTAATCTGAAAGGAATGTCATTTACTTGTTAAACTTGTGATGTTTGATTATCCCTCTCTGTACAATGACTGGAGAAGGGCYAAAAACCCACCAAGCCAGAAAGCAGAACTCACCCAATGAATTTGATTTGAAACACAGTGACCAGATGGTCTTAACCAGTCAACCAAATTACCCTCGCGAGCTTTTGATCAAAAGAGAATTAACAAGGAGGAGACAAGATGTTGTTGCACAGCAGGGTTCAGCTTCAAGCTGAATAAAACCACTCAGTTACAGTGATTTAATCAACAGGACTACACAGGTCGTACTGAGCAACCGGACGTTCTGATACAGAACATCCTGCTGGACCGATCCTTCACTTTAGACCTCCTCCTCCTTCTTATTTCATCATATTTCCTTTTTTTTTCAAATTCAACTTTTTCTTTATTGTTTCAGCAATTATCTCCGTTACCAGGTAAAATACAGTAGAAGAAAATACTCAACATGCTGCTGATTGCTCATCTAATTAACATTATGTTGTAAGAGCAAAGGGGGTTCTGACAGAAACGTAGCGGTACGAGAGGCGATATTAGAAATGTTACATTTTTGCATTGGTGAAGAAGAACATTTGAAGTTGTTGCAGATGTTTATATTCCAATGTTTTAGAAGATGGTTACGTTTTGTTAAAATCCAAGTTAGTTTCCACAATTTATGTTCATTAATTTAAATTTCATGTAAGTACAGTCGAATCTGGCCTTTTTTTCCTGACATTTCTAATTATAATGAATCTCCATGATCTAATGAAGTCTTTATACTGTAGACTTGAATGATGTGCCCACCTTAGTGTGTTTYCTGCTCGTTTTGATGATCTCTCATCAAAATGTAGTTTTCTTCTGCTGTACCATAAGTTATGGAAATGACCTTCCTAATGTTTGTTAACATCAAGAACACTTTTGTCTACACATTTTTCATTTTTTGTGGTTGTGTTTTAATAGTACCTATAAAAGTACTTAAAATAAATTTCTTAAATCAGCTAAGTAATTATAAATATCTAATATCTCAACATTACAGCTCATAGCTTTGCCAATATGTTTAAGGAATGAGCACTCAGACTGAGAGTGCAGTCAGATTTTTGTAATCCAGCCAGGAGGGTTCACCTCTGGTTGCATTTGAAGTACACTAAATCCTTTTTATTCTTGGCAATGTTATAAAAGAACTGTTCTATAAATGGATTCAAACTAATGTAAAATAATAATCTTTGAATCATTGGTAAGAAGAAACATTTTATTCACAGGTGCTGTAAAAGAAAACACAAGCTGCCATATAATACATTTTACACAAGGTTTGAAAAAATCCTATACAAAAACAAAGATATTAGAAAATATGGGTTTAGATATGAAACATGATCTTTTTTTTGGTGGGGGGAAAAGGTCTTGGTAACATTATTTCACTTCATGAGCCTAATCCTACATCAGTGAAAACTTAAATTGTTGTAAAAAATTAGAATGGTAAAAAAATGGGAGTAAAAATCATCCTTAAAAATGATTAAAAAACCTCATGCAGCATTGTCAGAGACGGCCTGAGAGAATACATCTTTGTAACACAAACAAAACAAAGTCATTATCGTAGAAAAAGAAACCAAACACACCAATGTACATCACAAGCATTTTTTTTCTTTTCTGAACAATCATCACCTATCAGTTTTGTCTTCTTTGTGTCGCTGTTTGAATTCATGCTTTCGTGGAAAACTAACAATTCATGAGGCTTTGTCTGAGATGTAAAATCAATGTTGCTGATATGCCAAGTTGGGGTAAATGTGTTCAAAAGTGTGTGTATGTGTGTTTTTTACCCCCAAGTACTGAATTTCTCAAAGTACTTGCAGTATAAATGTATTAGGATGCATAGAACCAAGGTTTGGCAGCACTTGGGGAAAAGTACTGTATAAAAAAAGGCTGTCAGGCTGATGTTGTCTCATCTGTTTGTCTTACAATGCAGAGAAAGCTCCCAGTCCAACCCCATTCACTGATGAGCCCCTCTTCACAGTAACCATTCATCAAACTGCTGTCACAGGTGAGTTTAAGGAAATCTCTCTGGTTTGCATGACCACCTACTGAGGCACCAGAAAAAATGGCTGAATCAAAAATAATCCCTCCTCATCCATCACAGTGACCCTTTGATTGTTTTGGCTTCATCTCTCAGTTCCAGTGAGATGGGTAACTTGAATAAACATTCCTGTCCTCAGAAATTATTCTCCACCGTAGAGAATCCACAAACACCCATTTCGATCAAGGCAACTGGAGGGAAACGTATTTATTCTACCTTGCCAACTTTTACAGACCGGCTGGCAGGAGAGGAAACAGCAAATGCAACTTGATGAAATTATAGTTCAGTTTCAAAATTCAAAAAAATAAAAATGAAAATTTAAAAAAAAACGACATAACCAGACGTTTTTAACTTAAGGCGCAAGAGGCTGAGTGAACATGGATAAAATGCTGTTTGAGGTTTGAAACAAGAAAAAAGGCAAAGTCTGAGAGCGCAGTAACATTAGCTTATTGCTAACTTTTTTCTTCTTTTTTTCCCCCTCGAAAGAAAAATTATACACGCCACACATTTATTTAAATACACTATACAATGCAATATAATTTTTTTTTTAAAAAAGAAACATGTTCAGGTTTAGGCCTGCACCATATGAAAAATAGTGAGTCAAACTAAACAATAAAAAAGGCACTTCCGGGCGTTGTTCATCACTGCGTTGCCACAACAACAGCATTGTGCTCACGCTTCATTTCTCTGCCGTGTCCTAGAGACAACGAGGCGCTGCAGCTCAGTGGTGATGATTTCGTCTGTTTTTACGTAAAGCTCCGCTCTGCTCTGTTGTTCTCCGTTACAGCAAAACCCATAAACTGACTGCTACATTTCTTCTTCCTCTGTCTTCTCACTTTCTCTTCCTTTCCCACTTCCACTTCCTGTTTGTCCTCAGACTTCGACCTCGCGCAGTCGTCCCTCTTGAGTGACGCATGTTGATGGCATGCTAATATCAAAACAGGTCACCATCATGACTCGAGACTTGCACAGGTTGACGCAAAACTCTAGCTCCTCTGTGGCCTGAGCCAACGCCTCCAGGTACTCTGGAGACTCTTTGTCCAAAGTCGGGTCCACTTCAACTGTTGAAACAAGAACATTGTTATCGTTTGGTTTGCCACAAAATAGATTTGTAATAGAAGTGAAATAGCGATRAAGCAAAAGTAATCTCCACTTACATTCTCCAAGCCACTTGCTGGGATCCATCATCAGYCGCACTTTTGTGTCCTCCAACTCCTCCAGCAACACTTGATGCTTCCCTCTCAGTTCTCTCACTTGCTGTTGCCTTCTCTCCAAAATCTTCAACTTACTGTTAAAATACAGCAGGCCCTGAAAAAAGGAGAAGTTAACAAAGACTAAGTGGGTGTAGCATGAAGAGACCCMTTGAAGGACACAATGAAGAGGCCATTAATTCTTTAGCTATTTTAGCAGCTCAGTGAGCTTAGCATAGGCAAAAAGAGGACCAGTAAAAAGAAAGTTTCCTTTAAGGAGGGAAAAAAGACATTATATGACCTTTTTTTTCATAGTAACCACCTAACCATTTTAAATTTTACATTGTAAATAATATACAGTATATTCCTTTTTAATCAAATAAAAACTATAATTTTCWTCAAGTCTGTTTCATCTAAAATCAAATCTTRGCTGGTTRTAAATAAATATTGGTAATAAAAAAGGGCTCACCTTGTCAACATCTTGGAAAGGCTGATGGAAAAAAAGGACAAGTTAGCCGTTTGTTTCAATAGAAAGCATGCAGTATATGTAATGTGTTACACAAACTGGAGGGGGGTGGATGGTGCTTTGATGTTTTTAAGTATTGTGGGAAAAGCCGTCTCAGAAAACAAAAACTGTTGATTACTTCAAGTTTACGCACTGAGAATTAGAAAGTAAATTAAATTATAGCTGAATAAATGTTTATATGTATCTCTATGGCACAGATGAACTTTTAGAAAAAGTGGGGATGAGGTACAAGGTAACAAGTTGATTTGGAGTTGTTTGTTGTACTTTATCTAATCTCTTTTTTTTCCCACACCTTTATTTTAACATAACCAAGCCCAATTTTTTTCACATCTAAATTAGTTAAGCTCCAACAATAATTGCCTTCTGAACTCTTGGCATTTATCAGAAATGCTGCCAAAATATCAAGCTCCAGGTGTCTGGACACAAACACTTTAATTCCAAGATCTGCCGCTGAGCTTTCTGAAGGTCAGACGTCTGGGACAAATTATTTTAGTCCTCAGCTTAGAAAAGAAACTGGGAAGGAGGACTCCAAGAAATCCCCACAAAGTTCTGTAAGTCCATGTTGAGCCTGTGTAAACTTAGCGTTGCTCTTTTAAAACATTGCACAGTCCTAACAGGTGGGTGTCATAAGCCCTCCACCCAGGCATGATGTTATCAAAAACCGTTTCGGCAAAATGAACAATCACAAAGAAATAGTTTGAGTTGACCCTCTGCTCACCTCTGTGGTTTCCTCTTGACGCCGTCTTTGGAGCCGTTCCACRTCGTCGATCTCGTACACCTTGATCTCAAAGGATTCCTTCAACGGTCCAGACATAGGAGGCAAGTCGACCCACTGGCCTGCTGTGCCCACCTTCTTCCCCAGGGATGATGTRTCTGGCAGAGGTGCTGGGATCAGCCTTCTTCTCTGAAATCCTACAAACCACACATACAGTAAACTCAGAATATACGAATTCATGCTGAGATTTTAAATAAGTCCTTGCTGTAGACTTGTATACAGGAAAAACTTATACTGCTACTTCTACATTTCTATAATATTTTCTTACCATTAGCTCTTTTCTTGGGATACTTGGAGCTCCTTGCTCTGCCTGAAGACGACACGCCGCTTTCACTCATGGAGTCGTGGGCAGAGGAAGCGCTGCCTGTGGCTTCACTGTCTCTGATCATGCTCTCATACCCGCTGCTGCCTCCGCTGTGGTAGAACAAAGCTGTGCGGCCCATCGCTGGAGGCAGCTCCCCGCTCAAAACGCTGCTGTTGTCACTGCCGTGGCCACTGCTGTAGCGCTGAGGCCGTCTCGGAGCGGTGATTTTACTGTACGGCGAGGGCAGCATAGCCGTGGGTGACTTGTCATCACTCACATTCACCCCACTGTCGTTGCCACTGTCTGAGTCTCCTGAACCTCTCCCATGTTTGCCCGATATGTTGCCTGTCGCAAGCTCACTCACACGACTATTTGCAGCCCTGATTGCCTGCTTGGTGCCCATGATAGTCCCTCTTCCAGGCTTACTTGAGACTGGAGCAGTAGTCCGAGGGGCTGCTGTTCGGCCTGATGGAGGGAGGTTGGCATTGGTGTTCCTGGTCACAGGAGACGCCAGAGATTTTGTTGAGGAACTGAGGCCTTTTGAGTTGTTGGCTGACAGTGAGCGTGCTTTACTACCATTTACTGTTCCTAAYGTTCTGGGATTTACAGAAGCTTTTACCTGACCTGATTTACTGATATTTCCATGGTTTTGAGTTGATTGGAAGGTAGCTATAGGAGAGCTAGAGGAATTAGGAATACCAAATCTTGGAATAGACTTGTTGGATTTGCTRCCCAGACTGGCCCCACTGTTCTCCCTACTAAGTGCCGCTCTGGAACCAGATAATGACAGGCTCTCACACTTTTCCAGGGACATTTGACTGCCATAATGAAGTCCAGCCTCTCCTCTAGAAACTTTTGCCTTTAGACTGGAGGTAACTTTGGCTATGTTGAGGCTGGAGGTTTTCAAATTTGTAGAGTCACCTTTTTGATGTATTTCAAGTTCATCCTCTGATACAGCTACCCTTGTCCCAGAGGTCCTCCCTGCCTCCCCGAATGCTGACTTTAAGGCACTTTGGGGCAGCAGGATCTTGGTCTTGTGATCAAGGCTGGACTTTCTAACTGGAGGAGGAGGTGGGGAGACACAGCCAGGTTTAGGGAGATTGCTTGGTTTCTGTGAGTTAGCCTTGTTGTTTTTCCCCAGAGAGGAGAATTTAAGGCTGGAGGCAGATGCAATAGTATCTTGTGTTCTTTTGTGGTCTGTTGAGGAATGGATTACAGGCACTGTTCCCAGGGTAGTGGCACCTCGTCTCAGCTGGGGCATTTTGCTGGGTGGATTCTTAGTAGCTGACTTCTCACAGCCGTCAACCACTCTCTGTGATGAGGTAGACCCTGGTACCTTAGGTGGGCGAGGTACACTGTTGCTGTTGTTGGGTGTTTTGCTGAACATAACACCACTAGGCGGGTTTCGGAGAAATCTGCTGGTGCTGCTGGAGTCAGAAATCTGAGGTTCTGAGTGGTTGTTGCTGCGCTGCCAGGGATCCTCCTTTTTAGCCTCTTGCCTCGGTGGATCTCTACTGCTGCTGCTGCTGCTGCTGCTGCTACTGTGAGACACTGATGAGGTAGGTTTAATCTTCCTGGGAAGACTGGAGTGTATTATGGAGGGGCCATGTGGAGGTGGAGAGGAGCTTAGCGAGTGAGCTTTCGTTAATTTGGATGTGAATCTGAGAGATCCTTTTGCTGAATCTGGTGATGGGGGACACTTTGTCAGCGATAGCTTGCTCGAGGCGGCACTGTCGCTATCTTGTTCAGAAAAACCAAAACCACTGTCATTTAGGGAGTTCATAGGATCTCTTGCAGATAATGCACCATGAAACATGTCCAGGGAATCAAAGTAAAAGTTGGCCTCTGATCCTATGGGTTTCCCCTGTGGAAGGAAAACATCTGTAGAATGAGCGCCTTCACTCTCCAAGGTGCAGACACTGACCTCACTTAGCCAAGAACTGATAGATGAACCCCTGCTGTCTATTGTGCCCTCCTGAAGAGGTGTGACCACAGCAACGCTGACTTCAGATCCTCCAACAGCTGACRTGTAGGCATCAAACTCATCATTGATGCTGCTGATGATGCTAACAGGTCGAGAACCAGAGGCCAATGCCTGAAGTGAGCAGTCACTGTTAAAGCTAATAATGCTTGATGGCCGACCTTTATCCATAATACTGCCAATAGACAGCTCTTCTACCACAGTGAACACTAACTCATCCTCTCCATTCAGCTCCACAGGCTGCTGCAGAGTGACAGTAGCTCGAAGGATATCCCGATCCATACTTMTGTCCCTCATGGTTGAGTGGACTTGGCAAACCTCCACTGGAGCTCTGAAAAAAGGGGACATGCATGGATCCTTTCTTTTCACAGCCTGGTGGCTCATTCCCACAGGTGGCATTCTGGTGCCCGAGCTTTCTTCTTTCCCTGCATTTTCCTTCTGCTGCAAAGGAGGCGGTGCTGGATTTGGCAAGGCCTTCCTGTTGGGGTAAACCTTTTCCCGGACCACAGGCTCCGAGTTTATCACTGTGGAAGAAGTCACATTGTTTGAATTGACCTGGCTTTCAGAGCTCAAGGATTTTTCACCATCAGCACTGGTTCTGCAAATGTTGTGAATGTTCTCTGATGGCTCTCTCTCTTCAGGTATGCATTGAGTCTTGGCAGTATCCAATTTAGATTTTATACTAGGACTGCAGGATGGTTGCATGGAGACAGGTTTGGGAAATTGTTTGTTTGAGATGCCCTCTTGGCTACTAGAAGTATTCGCCCCAGTCTTTGGTGAATTGGAGCCTTGGTTCTCCTTAGATTTGTCAGTCTTAGGACTAGCTTGGTTTCTCTTGCCCTCTGCAACAAAGGCAGTAGGTTCTTCACTGCCATCTATACACTCCAGCCTTTCCTGCAGCTCAGCAAATGTGTTGCATTTAAAGAACTGATCTCTGTCCAGAGGGCCCTCTTTAGCAGACTTCTTCTTGTTCAGGGAGGGGATAATTGGAACAAAGGCAGGTGGGCCTTCATTGTCACTAAGCTCCCTATCTGAGATCGCAGTTCCCCCAGGGCCCACATAAATAACAGTATCACAAGACTGTTCACTACTTGAAGAGTATTCGGGGTCACTAAGCAGGGCAGGCAGGTCTGGGTCCAGGGCCACAGTCCGAGGGTGAAATGGCCTTAAGTGGGGTGGTCGGCGAACCCTCCCTTCCTCACAGGAACTTTCCCCTCCAGATGAGCTGGATGCATACTTAAAMAAGGGACAAAACCAAAGCAGATATTAGTCTTTTGCATTTTAATTATGGCATGATCAAAATGACATATCACCTCAGAATCACATTTTAAAATACATTTGAAGATAAGCTAATTTGTAATCAGGTTAAGTTAGTGTCTCAATATAGAGTCAGACATATAAAATTTACCAGCTGTACTTATGTGCTTTGCTGCTTCAACCCACCTGATTTGAAGGAACAAGCTGCTTCTACTTAAGGTAACAGGTAATTTAACAACTAAATCAGGTGCATTGTAGCAGCTAAACAGCTAAAACATGAGTAGCGGCCCTCAAGGACTGAGAATCKACCCCACTGCTGTTAACTGTAAAGTTAGTGGTGCGTTTATAAGCTGATGACTTTTTTGTTTGTTGCATGACATTTGATAAACTGATTCAGCATTCCTCTACCGGAATTTGAAAATAACTTGTGATTAAAAGATGTTTATTACAAGCATTATTCTGTAAATAATGACAATAATGTTTTTTGTTAAAAGATTATTATTAAAATAAATTTCAGCTRTTTTATTCTTTAGTGTTTTTAATAATTCTTTTTATCATGAATCAATATGTATCTAAAGGTTAAAAGTGCACGTCGATAGACACATGGAAGTTAATGTCAGGTGTACAAATTGATGTGTCAGAACAGCATAATAGTCATCACTGGGACCAATACCAAATGAATACATGCTGCCATTGCACCTAATTATCTGGAGCATTTATTTCCCTAATCTAGGGGATAGCGTTGCACACATTCTTAGGCAGGGGTATTGATTATATGATTATGTGTTGAGAAGCTGAGAAAAACTATTTCTCAATTACAGCAGTAATAATAATTCATTTTCAGCATCATTTGTTTGCTTAATAGCTCCAAAATCACAGGAGGAAGAAAAAGTTTTAGGACTAAAATCACAGACTCATCCATTGATTTTTAATGTGAAAGCCCACATTTAGGTCATACCTAAAGAAACTACAAAAAAACAATTAATCTGACTGATTAAATTAGAATTTAAGAATGTTGTACTGAGTTGGGGGAACAAAATGCTTGTGCAAACCTTTAAGCTGTAACATATCTGCTTGACTAAATAATTCATTTGGGATGTTAAACAGTACATCTTTGCACCTTGGATTTTTTCTTTCTCATGCGATGGATGCGGGAGGCCAGCTGGATGGTAGTGAGTGAATCAGCATAGTTGGCTGGGGAATCGGAAATATGGGCAATCATGGTTGTTCTGCAGTTGATGTTGCCGAGGGACTCCCTCAACAACATTGTCAGTTTGCTGTCCCTGGAGGGTGCATTAACAGTATTATTAGCAGACAACAAGGTTAYCTTGTAAAACAAGCAATAAAGGTAGCTGACATGACTGTACGTGCAGCTGTCTTTAATACTCAGCCCTGGAAAACACTCCCAAATGACGAGTCATTAATCTGTTTTTACTTAAACTATATGATTGGGTTTTAGCTCATTATCTAAGCCTAATTAAACAGACTAAATAAATTGTCACACAGTATTCCTTGAAGCAGAGTCTCTTTCTTCAGCATACAGTAAATAACATGCAGACACAAAATCTTTAAAGGCAAAAGCACAGAAAAAACAAAGACATTAAAACTAATGGTGGTTTTCTTACTTGTAAGGTACATGTTTTGCTCCATTTGCCAAAGCCATTATGACGTTTCCCAGTGCATTCAGGGAGAGACACAAGCCTCCGCCTCCATCTCTGCTTTTGCTCAGGACCTTTTCACAGCTTCCCAAGTCGATCAGGTGCAGCCTGCTCCGCCCGCCGGACACTGCAACGGAAATAAAACCAGGTGAGCACAGCACAGACACGCCCGCTGTGAGGGTATAATTTCTGAGAAGCAGTGGCATGATGACAGGAGTGGCACTGCTCTGTCAGAACTGTCTGGTTTATTTATGAGTAAGCTGAGGTGATTCAAACTGCAGCCAGCCTGAAGAACTCCCACCAGATGTTTAACTCTCAGTAACAGGGGCTTTTTTTTCATTTTGCTAAAGAGCACATATCATGCAAAATTCACCTTTTTAGTCGTTAAATGCCTTTTGTTGTGTACTTGGAGTCTCTAGGAGTGCAGGTAAGTTGAAATTAGTCTGCGTAGATACCTTTATATTTTGTTTGAGTCATATTTGGTTTTCTCTGTTTTCTATGATGTTTTCTGAACTATTACATGACAATATTTGCAACAGAACATCTAAGTAAGGTCTGGACTTACCAACTACAATTTCATTATCTTCATTCTCCTCTGGCTCTGGGTCAGACTCTGGCTCCAACATGTAAGACTGGATGGGCAAGTTTTCTGTTTTTTTTACATCTTTTATTGTAAATAAAATGACTCTGCTCTGCTATATAGTCGTAAACCCCTCTATCAAACTACAATGGACCACTCTGGAAGCTGGAAGTGGGCGGGATGTGAAGCGCTTTGTTTGGATTTGAAGGAACAGCATAAAATGAGCTGATCTGCGACACACCTCAGTGAAAGGGGGCTTGTGGAGTTACAATATTAATTTGTAACAATAAATAGGTACCGTATAGCGGTAACATAATGACCCCCGCACGCACAAATGCACCAGAACTCAGAAGTCTTTATTCCTAATAAATGTCATGCTACTAGGTGCATCCCAAAATTGTAGTGGTTTGGTTGGGGGTCTTTTTTTGGAGGGGAGGGGGGCATTGGTTGGTGGGCCTGATGGATAGAGCTTCATTAGAGCTAAACACTAAAAGAAATCTGAAGCTTCTATGTTGAACATTTTCTAAGTTATAAGCATTTTTACATGTCCAGACACACCCACTTTGAAAGGAGCCCCCTCCTCAAATAAGGGGTCTATCATAAAACCGTTGGCTGGAGCAGTGTAGGTCGGACTCATCTACAGTCCTGCTAAATTTCATGTTGACCGGAGCAGCCGTTTTTGTGCTACGGTTAACCAAAATTCACTGGAAAAAAAAGTACGAAAACAATATGACTCCCTGTTACGCTTCGCGTGCGGGGGTCATAATTATATAGATCCTCCAAAAAAAAAGGAGAATTAAAAAACAGATGTCCCCTTTATGTAAGGCATTAAACCTTAATTAGTATTGGAATTTTCTCAATTTTCTGGTTAACAGAAGCCAAACCCACTTATTTAATGAACCACATGGTTGACCGTGTAAATATTTACTTCCAGTCCAGACTGAAAACTTGTAGATTCTCAGTAACAATGCAGGAATACTAACTTCCTCCTTTGCCGCTCTTCTCCATGCGATATTGGTAAATGTGCAGCGTGAATAGCATGTGGGAGTTGCGCCGTTCGTCCTCATCAACGTTTGGCCTGCTGGTGCTACGTGCAGCGAGGGCTGCGTCCAGGAAGAAGGCAGCCTTCTCAGCAGTAGGGGCACGGAGCTCGCTCTGGTTCTGAAGCTGCAGGTTGAGAGGAGAGGACAGATTAGCCTTGGGGTGACGAGAACAGACCACACAGGGCTTGAGAAAGAGGCTATACGTGAAAAAGGGAGGCACTATAAAGCGAGGGGAGCTGGTTAATTGGACCCCAGCATACATTTCTGGCCCATTAGAATGTATCTCAGGGGCAATTAAAACCGGAGATATGCGCACAGAGGGAGGAGGATTAGGAGAGGTAATGCAGGAGCAGGAGGCTGGGATAGTTCCCTCCTCATGATGTGATGAGGGTACAAAAAAGAAAAGAGGGAATAGACGGGAGAAAAAGGCAGAAGAGATGAAGGAGCAAAACGCGTGGCTGCCGAGAGGAAGAGGAGCTTCACAGAAACGCACCTCCTTTGAAGTCAGAGTCCACAGATATCCCCAAAAACAACATCTGTCAGCAACACCTGTGAGTGCCTTCAATCCTACAGTTTGCCCCATCCCCCAATAATATTTCTATTGTGCCACAGAGGGCTAACTCTGATTCATGCATAATAGATGCTCTGACAGGAGCGTCAATACGAGACTGAAGAAGAAAGCTTTCAATAACATAGATGGATTCAGCTGAAATATAAATCATGGATTTCAGACACAAATAGGATAGAGCAAGACAAACTGGGATGTCCTAGGAGATAAAATGAAAGAAGATAAAAACACATATAGTTTCAAGAAAGTTTAAACCTTTTTGAAAGGAAAATAAAGGAGGTAGATCATAGAAAAAAATCAAAACTCGGATTAATACTTTAACCCATGAAAGGATCATTGAACAAAGAATGCTGTTGCTCACCTGTGTGCCACAGATGGGGTCCTCCCTCAGATGGATTCCTGGAGACTGGCCTTCCTGCAGGCTGCCTGTTGACACCTCAGACAACAAATCCTTCAGCTCCTCATCTTTTCCAAAGATTTCCACAGCAGAAACACGGACTGAGAACCGCGTGCCCGTCTTCTCCTTTCGCTCGTTGATGAGCTTGAAGAGCCAAGAAATGGCACAAGGCACAATGCCGAGACTCTGAGTTGAGCTGTCTTTGCCAATCATGGTGTATGTCTTGCCTGGTGATGTGTAGAGACAGGAGAATGGAAATAAAACAAAAAAATAAGCCACCATATGTTCCAGCTAAAATTGATTCTACTTTTTAAAATGTTTGAAGTCGGCACAATCCTCATAAAAAATGAATACTCAAAGGAACATTTTCTGATTAACAAATGCTGCTGAAAAAAACAGCCAATGTGAAAAATCTGATGTAATATTCAGAAGAAGTAAAAATCAAATGCTAATTCAAGGACTTATTTCAGAAGCAGTCATTCTGTGGAGAATTATAGCTAACAGCAGCGTGAGGAAAACAAGCTCTTCAGCCTGAGAGCACCGGCCAGACCAATTACTAAGATTTTAATTAAAGACTGAGCCCTGAAGCGTGGATGCAGCGCTTTAGTTCTCACCACCCCCTCCTCGAATTCACCCATTCTTTTTTTCCCTCCCATCTCTCATTCCTTGACTCACRCCAGTGCACCGCTAAGCCAATTGTGGACATCAAGTGTAGCTAACGAAAAGCGATGAGAGTTTTTTTTTCCTTTGACTAACAGAGGCACATGTCGAATCTGTTGCTGGTGGAGGAGCTTACCAAGCTTGACTTGACCGAAGCAGAAGATGCAGCCRTCTGCACCATTCACCACCGACTGGATGACCTCAGCTACTGTCCCTGAGCACACCTCAGCCTGGGAGAAACAGAAACAGACAAACCCCACCACCCACTCACAGTCAATTTACAGTTCAGTCATGTCTGGGGAAACACTTTGAAACAATGAATACATAACAAACAGGGTGAAGTGGTATTTGGTATTGGCTACACCAAATCACATTTAACGGCTTTAGGATTACTTKGGTGTATGTTTGTGGGTGTTGCAATGTGTGGCTTGTCTCTGCAATCTGTTTCAGCTTAGATCTTCAGAGGGAGCGCTGCTGCTGCAGCAGRGGGGCTTCTTTCCGTATACCACACAGAAAACATAACCTCTTCCAGTAGAACAGTTTGTTTTGACTGTTCGCCACCAGCAGCACAGTCTAGCAAGGTGGCCTCAACTCAACACTATTTGACCCTTCAGATGGACAATTTTAGGGCCACACTTCAAACAAAGGGGCTACGAGCCGTGCCAATAAAAACAATTCACAAATTCCTTGACCGTTCTTATGTATAATTAAATTTTTACCATGCATGAGTATATCAATGTCTTATATGTGTATCAATGATAACTGATCAACAACAGGCTTGTTGAAGGTGTGTGCAAATAAAGGGCCAAGGCAGGGTATTTCAACTAAAGTGCTCCAGAGGCCACAGTTACTCAAAGCCAACAGGTCAGGGGTCATACATCGGGATCAGTGGTAGTGGTGTGGGGGGCACTTCATTATGTAAAAGAGCAAGTATTACAGTGAAGCTCTGATATTCACTGGGGCTACGTACTTGTGAATTGTGAAAAATATTGGATACGGTCCAGAAATGACCTACAGCGCATTTGTGTGACATCGTAATTC